TGTGTTCTAGGCCAAAATACTTGATAAGGCAAACTCAGTTTTTTTCTTTCTACAGGTTGTCTTGAGTTTTTCCATTGTTTTAATTTTAGTATAACATTATTATGCCATGCATATTGCATATTTTTACTTTTTAAAATTTATTTAAAGAAACCAAACCAATGTATCGTTGACATTTTTGGCAACGATAAAAGCAATAAAGTTTTTCAGGAAGAGTGTTTTCAGCTTGTTTTTTTATTTTTATATAAAATTATGGCATGCAGTTGCTTCAAACAATGGTATAAAGCTATTTAAAACATCAATCAATGCAAATTGTGATAATGGTAATTAATAATCGCAATTACAATTTTAAGGTAATATTCGACAACAATGATTTTTGTCATAATCGTGCAGCCCTATCCAATACGCAGGAGAACTCACACAGGGAAAGGCTGTTGAGACACAAACATGACGTTGTAGACTAGACCAAGACAGACAACACGGACCAGGACTTAAATACATGACTAAACGAGGGTAATAGACAAGACACACCTGAACCAAATGACTAATAAACGAGAGGGAGAAACTGGGTCACGGGGAGCACATGGTGGAAAACAAACAAAACAAGTCCATAAGCGTGACGCATGCATGTTACAGTTACCAAAAAAAACGTGTTGCCTCGGCACACCAAAGTGATGAAAACAAAGCAACTGGCATAGGTTAAGTGAATCAGAAGTACTATTCTCAATTGGCCATCATTATCCACTGAAGCAATACTGGCCCAACAGTGTCAGTCAACCCCTGGCCCCACATTTTTTCAAATAGGAGCAAGGGCACCATTTTAGATAACTGTGTGTAGCACTAGGTAGGTTTGCCCTTCAACAAGAAAAAAAACAACAGCTCACCCAAGTATTTTCCTTATAAAAAAGGGGGGAAATCTGCTCCAACCACATTGGTACTGTCATGAACAAAATGAAGGCTTTGAAAACAAGGTTAAATGCAATTTACAATTTGTATCGACCATTACAGATCAACTGTGGAACTACACAAATACAAATCGCACGAAATATATGCAAAAATATAAAACTCCAACCACATTGGTACTGTCATGAACAAAATGAAGGCTTTGAAAACAAGGTTAAATGCAATTTACAATTTGTATCGACCATTACAGATCAACTGTGGAACTACACAAATACAAATCGCACGAAATATATGCAAAAATATAAAACATAACTATATAAAATATACACACTTACTGTTGTAAGACTTCTTTAGTCCTTCCTTCCACATAGAAAGTTATGGCTGCCTGAGCTATCTGGTCCCTTTCCTCCATGGCGATGATATGGCCCAGGGACCCCAACATGGACAGGCTTCCTGCAGCTTCCATAATGATATCTCTAGCTGCTGTAATATCTCCTGTCTCACTGATCTTTATATCATGTACAGTTTACTAGTAGAGGCAGGCCTTTGTGATGCCTTCACCATTGGCTTGAATAATGCAGAATAAGGACCAAAATATCAACATTATGTCATACCTTTTATAATTTCCACTGCCAATCCAGATCTGCTATTTTGGTAAAGCCTCTCAGAAAAGAAGGAAGGAAACAATCCTCCATGCACGAGTGTCAATCATTCATCCATATATTCGGTACAGACTTCTCTGTAATGCTGCAAAAATTAGTGTTAAAAACAGAACAAAGATTTTTGTAATCAGTAAGAGTGTGGGAAGTAGACCATTACGTTATTGTCTGCATTAGGGATATGCCGGTATCAAATTTTCATGTTGCGA